AAAAACCTTTCTAAACTCGGTCTTTCAGTGTAAAATACAAAGGATTCTGGCTCTGACTTCTCGCGCCTGCGGGGCCGTCCTGAGCGCGAATGCCTGTCTAACGTCCAGGTTCATTCCTCCCTTTCTCGTTCTCTCGTTCTGGCGGATATGTGGTTTCGGAGTCCACTAGATGCGATCCTGATTTTCACACCACTATCGGGAAGACACAATAGTCATTTTGGACCGCACAGCTGACTTCAAAGCATCAGCCAATGACAGACCGATAAGTGGGGTAGCATTATGTTTCCTGACTAAATCAGTTTTCGAGGTGGCCTAATTTGTGCAACTTAAGAAAGGTCACGATCGACGTCTGCGTTGAAAGCGGATCGGGTAAATAACCCGAGCTCAAGAACCGGGGCGTCACATAACCTAACTTTAGCTTCACGCCGCCCGCCGCGTATCACCTCACTGTCGAGTAATAAACAGATGTCGAATGTCTTACCGTCGTCACGAAAATATGGCGTGATAACTCGAGTTTTAACTTGATCTGGCTCAAGCTGGAGGTTCACCTATGTTCACCCAGCTGAAGTCGGTCCGGTCAAAGTTGTTGTGTATGAACTTCTTGCAGCTGCAGCTTTATAAGGATGTTGGGCGAACTGAGTCGAGTGGAGTGAGTAAAAGACATCGCCACCAGAGCGCGCTGCAGTCGTTAAAAAAACGTCCGCCGCGAATATTTAATGGTGAAAGTGGGTGTCTGAAGTAGAATTTTAAGACGAAGAAGATCGCGATTTCAGATATAGACTATTCCGGCGGGAGCGCGGAGAAGACTCCACGGAAGAACAAAAGGGGCCGTGATTCGCCGAGCGGCGTCCCCCACCATCTTCCCTTAGTGGAGGGGGACGCCGCTCGGCCAATAGCGATCCCTTTTGTTCTTCCGTGGAGTCTTCTCCGCGCTCCCGCCGGAATAGTCTATAACATTTTGGTTCATGGGCGCGAGGCGGGAGGTCCCTTCTGCCCCTTCATAATATACTGATATCAAAATTGTGCCTTAACTTACTATGAACGCAAATCTTAAACTGTAGATCGGAGTAGTTTTGGAACCAGAGGTAAAGTCGGAAGGAGGTTGCAGGCAGGTTAGGTTGGTGTTCAGTAAGGCGGGCCGCGGGCCAAGGCTGACTGAGTTCCGGTCTCAAATGCAGCGTTCACATGGGTTTGCAGAAGCAAGCCGAAGTGCCCGGAGAGGCAGCGGGCGAGCGAGGCCAAAACGGGGCCAGCGCAACGCATGCGGACAGCAGGTCGGGGAGCCGGCCGCCGCAGGACATTCTGCAGGGGACTGCAGCGTCTATGCAGCCCGGGCCGTATGTGATGAGGCTCATGCATACTAGACGGCATGCCTGTGTTTATTCATTCAGAAAGTAGAGCCGCCGCCAGAGCTAGAGGGGAGCGAGACAGAGCAGCACGACGCCACGGCAGGGGAAAGAAGTAGTAGGTAGAGGCCGGACAGAAAACAGGAGGGGCGAGTGTCCTTGCGCGGCGAGGCCTGGTGACGTGGCGGTCGAAATAAGTCGGAGACTTGATCAGGACACAAGTCGACGGGCGTGGCCATGCGGGGTGGGGCTTGGCGGAGGTGGCGGCGGAGGACGTGAGGGCGGCGGGCCGGGATAGGGGAAGGGACGGAAGAGGAGGAAGTCCTTTCAGCCAGAAAATTGCACGAGCTGATTGCATTACACGATAGCGGCGCTTTTGGGAGAAAATCCGTGCATCCCTAGACTGGTAATTTGCAAAGAGTGGGACTGTCATGCGGCGCGGGGGAAATGCGGAGCAAGGCCGAGCAAAGGTGCAAAATAAGGGAGGGGGAGGGAGGTCGAGCACTACTGTCGCACCGGCCCCCGGGAGCCAAAGCC